GGAGGGATATCATTCAACATGGCCATTAAATTGGTATTAAAACCAATTCTGTAACACTTATAATAGCCACCCACTAACTATTATTAAACTCAGATTTAAAATTGGAATTAAAACAGTATTAATTCCGTAACAGATGAGTTTAATCTTCACAACAGGCTGAACTTTCGGGTTCCAGACCGTTGGGGTGCAGGTTCGTTGCTCAGGACACGAGAGTACAAGGTTACTCTCGTGCAGCCCGAGAGGTGGACTCCACTGATAATTGTACCACAAAATAGCCACTTAATATGCCATTTTAAGCTATTTTTTCCAACAGCATGTGGAAATTGATTATCATTTCGTTCGAGATAAAGTTGCTTCTGGAGACATTCAAGTTAATTTTATCTCCACAAAAGATCAACTTGGCGACATATTTACTAAAGCTTTACATAGTCCTTAGATTTTCTTTTCTTCGATACAATCTAAGGTTACTAGTATATCATGTGCTTGAGGGGAAGTATTAGGACTCTTTGTATGACTCCCCATCCTAGTCTTCCTATGATTCTCTCTTGTATATATTCCCTCAATCTGTACAGTTGTAATTACTGTTAATTTACTACAATTTATACAGTTCTTATCCAGCCGCTATTGTGCTATGAAAAACGTAAGAAACAAAAAAAAAAATAAAAAATTGAAGATTTACAATAATCGCAGAAGCATTAGATAAGTTTGTAATTAAAACACCACAAGTTCCTTCTGAAAATTCAAATGTTATTGTTGATATTGAGAATAATAACAATGTGGATAATCATGACTCTAATGCTGAAAATGGCAATAATGTGGATATTGATATTAATAATATTGACCAAGTAAAGAATGACAATTTAAGTAATGCACTCAACAATGATGATGGTGCTTTATATGAAACTGACAATTCTGATGTTGGCCAAGATTATTTATAAGAACGGGGCCATAAAAATTAAAAAACTGGACGTGGGTAAGACTAGGGATGGCAATGGGTCGGGGAAGGATACATCCATCACCCGACCCACCATATATTTTCTCCACCCACCCCCACCTCCAACCCACATCGGGTGAACTTTTTCAAAACCCACCCCTACCCCCATCGGGTGCGGGTGCCAACTACGGGTACCCACCACTTATCATTTTATTATTTTTTTTTTCAAAAAAATTATTTAAATTACTTACACATAATAAAATAATAAAATTCATTAGTGATACTAAAACATAAAATAATAGAAATATTTAAATATAATAACTAAATTGTTAATTTTTAAAAATAAACTTAGTAGTTTAGATATAAAAAACAGTAAAAAGATACACGAAATTATATAAACTTTTATAAATAACTACATACTAGTACTTATTTTAATATATATATATATATATATATATATATATATATATATATATATATATATATATATATATATATATATATATATATATATATATATATATTATATATACACACACACACACATGGTGGGTCGGGTGGGGTTCTAAGCGGGTTTTCTACATAAACCCGAATCCAACCCGACCCATCACGAGTTTACTTTTTTAAGACCCACCGCCGGTCCACCGCCCACCATCACCCAAAAAAACCCGATCCATGCGGGATGGATTCGGGTGAACATCCGCGGGGCAGATTGAAATTGCCATCCCTAGGTAAGACAATGCCTCTAAGCGCTGTCTAGAGCACTCTTACCGACACCACTTACAGCGCGCAACGAATCACACCGTAGCACTAGACGACGCTCCTTGCAACGTCAAGCATCATGTCAATGCGACACTGACAGAAAGCCCGACTTGAATAAAAAACAGAGAACTCTAACAGATGCGACACAACCCGACTAGAAAAAAAAACAGAGAACTCTAACAGGTGCGACACCGATAAAAAGCCTGACTAGAATGAAAAACAGAGAACTCTAACAGGTGCGACACCGATAAAAAGCCTGACTAGAATGAAAAACAGATAACTTTGACAGGAACCAAGATCTGCAAGGTATTTTTTAAAAATATTATTTTTTTATGTTTTTATATTTATTTTCAAATACCCTAAAACGTATCTATGAAAATACCAAAATATATACATCTCAAATATGTATATTTTTTTTCGAACTTAAAAATATGTGTGTCTATATATATATATATATATATATATATATATATATATATATATAGGGGTGATCACATGTGGCCATGTTGTTAGGTGTAGTCATATGGTCAATTATATGTCATTAGATTAGATAGATCCAATGAATCATATTAATCAAGATTTTTCCAGTATTTTCGCGCACATACTCCTATCCAGCGAATTGCAAGGGTAAACTCGTCATAAAACACCGGAATAGGAAAAATCACATTGTTGTGTGTTTTATTACACTATTGGTGCATGTTGTCAACACTATTGGTGTATTCTAGAACCCGGCCGCTATAAATGGCCACTGTAATTACCATAACACGGGAATACACCATTGGTGTATTTCACTGTGGTGTATTTTATTACACTATTGGTGTATGTTGTCAACACTGTTGGTGTATTCTGGAACCCGCCCGCTATAAATGGCCATTGTAATTAACATAACACCCCCACTTACTAAAACGCGCGAAAATCCCCAGTATTACCACTGTGGTTAGATTAAACTGATTCAATGACACAGATACGACCACACCTAATGACATGACCACATATGAGCGCATATATATATATATATATATATATATATATATATATATATATATATATATATATATATATATATATATATATATATATATATATGTATATATACACACACACACTTAATGTGTATACTCTCAAAACTGGATACTGGAGAAGGGTGTAAGGCGAGCTTGGAGGAAATTTCATCTGTCAGCGCGCCTGACGCGTCACACGGGCGTGTGTAGTGCACGCGCCCGTGTGGTACTTGGCTGTGCGCAAACGCGCACAACATCTTTTTTTTTTTTTTTGAATGCTACTAGCTCCATTACAAGACTCCACTAAGGCTCGAACTCACAACCTTCCAAATGGAAGTCCAACCCGGATACCATTAGACCACATAGACCTGGTAACGCGCACAACATCTGTTTGTTTGTTTCTTTTTTTTTTTTTTTTTTTTTTTTTTTGACATTATTTTGTGTTTTGCAGGACAAATCTCTTCTCAAATAACCCCACCCCACATTTGTTATTAACCCCACCCAACATAATTGATCTGACATTAACCCCAAATAAACCACAGATGTGGATGCTCTGATACACTACTAATAAAAAAAAAAAAAAAAGAGACTGAAGATGAAGACAATAACAGTGCTATCCAAAAGAGAATTAAGAAGACTTAGAGAAATTTAAACTAAAAGTAGTATTTATTTAGTCTATCGCTTTTATACTAAGTATTTAGACTAGCATTATTACAAAGTTACAAACATTTATTTTAGTGATAATTATAATCATTCTCTTATATATTATCTTGCATTTATATACTTTGAATAACGATTTAAATAAACAAATTCAACATTCAATTACCTATGCATGAACATCTCCTATATAATATTGCATTGATATACTTTGAAGTACATATTTAAAAATCTCTATTGGGCATTATCCCATTCGCGCAATAATGCGTGTAAAAAAACTAGTATATATATATATACAAGAGAAGATAATGGTAAAATAATGAATAAAGAAAATTTACCTAATATGTAACCTAGACCAACCTCCTATGTACCGTACTCTTTTTGAACCTTGAAAGGGGGTCCTCCTTATGATGCTACGGACGGCTGTCGAAGTGCAAGGGGAAAACTCGGACTCAGATAGGATAGGATTGTGCGTGTCGGGCCCTACGGGTGTTATATTTTGGCCGAGTTTACCGTCCCTCCGACCCCTATGTTAGGCAGCCGTAATGTTTTCTTACGTTCTACCACTGTTACGCTAGATTAAAAGGTTCCACACGAGCTCCCGTTCTGCGGCGTGGTGGCAGGATCGCTAGGGTTCAATATACAGGGGTCATGTAAATACATAAGCCCCTTCCTTTCATTCACTTCGCGGGAGCCGCACAACACATAATTGGAAGTTAGAGGGCCCATACATTCCTATTAAACCTAGCTGAAAAGTAGCTGAAAGCTAAAAAGCTATAAGTTAGGAATTGAAAAATGAAGAGCTGTTAAAGCTAGCTATTATGATTGAAAGTGTTTGGTAAAATTAGCTGTTTGATAAGGTGATAAATGTAAAAAGACTAAAAAGGACATTTTTATAAAATTTAAATTAGTTTGCTTACCTATTAAAATTTAACAACTTGTCTTAAAAAAAATTTAACAATTGAAATAAAACTATTAGCATAATCACGATCTAGCATCCCATAACAGCTTCATCATATTCATCATATATATTAGATAATCAATCTTATAATAATAATAATAATAATAATAATAATAATAATAAAGAACAAATGTGCGGATAAAGGATTTTTCATTTCTTTAAAAAAGTTTAATAATAATAATAAAGGATTTGACGTGAAAGTTGTAGATAAGGAGAAGTAAAGGGGTTTTAATTGGGAATGGTAAAAAAAAGTTTGGGAGCTACTAGCTTATTTTGAAACACTACTTTAGTTAGCGTTTCAAAATAAGCTCTTATTTTAAGCTAGGAGCTTATTTTGGAAACATTACCAAACAGAGCTTATAGCTTATTAGTAGCATAAAATAATAAGTTATATCTTTATTAATGGGGGAAGAATAATAGAATTAATTTCCTTTTAACTCTACTAAAAAAAATAAAAATCCTTTTAACTCCCATCCTTCGTTAAATAGGAAATCTAAAATTTAATTAGACTCCAACATTGATTGTATAGCAATTCGCAATGAGGAGGAGTGCTAGTGCTGTGGGAGAATACAATTTTACCTTAAATTCAAAAATCTTGAAAACCCCATTATCCTCAATATATATTCTAGTACGAGCTTTGGATACTCCAAATTAAGCCTAAAACTGTACTCCTGCATATTAAACGATGAGCGAATCGGGGAAGACGGCGCCGCGTGTTTCAACGCTACCTCTTAATCATCATCTTCTTCCCCATGACATTCTCTTTGAGATCCTCTCCAAGCTCCCTGCCAAGTCGCTTGTACGATTCAGGTGTGTTAATAAATTCTTTTACGCTCTCATAGCTGATCATGCCTTTGGCGTTCTACACCGCAGTTTGTCCTTGACACTTCCCAGTAGGGCGGGTATCCTCTTCGCTATCATACCTCGAACACTGCTCTCTGATGTCTCTTCCGCCCCTCCCTATTACACCATAAATACTTTCAGCGAAGAAAACCTCCAAGCCAACCGTCTCGGCTACTTGGACAGTGATGAACCCCTTCTGAGAGGTGGTCTACACTCCTCCTCCGACGGCCTAATTTGTCTGTCCAGACCCAATGGAGACGTCGTTGTTTGCAATGTTAGTACCGGACAACGTATTTCCCTTCCAAGATTCCAATTTAACTCCTCCAATCCAATTAAAACCTGTGCACTATTGGGGTTCGATTCACAATCTAAAAGATACAAGGTTTTGATGAATGATCGGAGGAGGAGCATCTCCGAGTATAAGCATTGGGTTTTGACTGTGGGAGTGGATAAATCATGGAGGGAGATAAACTATTCTTCCCACCCTTTCTGCCCCTTTGATGGCTTTGGATGCGCTGGCTTATCCCATACTACTGTCCACATCGACGGCGTTATCTATTCCTATAATTGGATATCTAGAGATGTCCCTCCTAGCTTCCACATAGTAGCATTTGAAGTTGGGTCCGAGAGTTATTCTTTGATACCAATTCCAGCCGAAGTTCCATCAGAGTTTTCTACTCTAGATAAATTTGGGGAAAAATATCACTTCTCTAATTTTGTTAACAGAAATTTTGCATTGCTACAAGTTGATGGAGGTGGACTGGCAATCGTTTATGTTCGCAACATAGACATGAATGTTTGGATTTTGGAGAAATCTAAGGGATGTTGGGAGAAGATTACTACGATTATTCCATTCAATTTGAGAGTAGAAAAATCAACGGAGTACCGCTATACTACGAATCATGCTGGGGAAATTGTGTTGTTAGGTAAAAATAGTAAACAATTTACCATTTGGGTTTGTAACTCGAAAAGTAAGGTTTGGAGAAAATTTGATATAAGTGGAGTTGAATTTCCAATTTGTTTCCCTATGGAGGTTAGAATGTACAAGACTATGGACAATGTATTTTCCATTGAGTAGTTTGATTTTGAATGTTTGAATTATGGGGGAAGTTTAGGCCAGGGTTGACCAGCGGTATAGGAAATTAACAGAAAGTTTTAATTTGTTGATGAGAGAGGGTGAAAAAGTTGAACTAGTTAATTTCATTAATTTGAGAATGTTTCCTTTTTATGTATTAGTTGATAACTTTGAGATTGAATATAATGTTTCCTAGCTTTTTAATTTTCAGTATTCAAAATTATATAAATGTCAATTTCATATTGTTTTGTTGTCCTATTTCAATATTCACGTATTAAGTCAGCAAGATCGACCAGAGACCATTCATCTCAGCGTAACCTTGAAAACAATGTAACACTATTAAAATAAAAGGTTATATATATATAATACATCAAATCAATTATTCTATATGTAACACCTTGAAAACAATGTAACACTATTAATGTAATCAGACATTGGAAGCTGATCTTGAAACTTGGGACAAAGCATGGATCTGAAGATGATTTCCATGTTGGGAACTTCTTTCTTTTCTTTGCCAGCAGAAACTACTTCCATCCAGGGCTGTAGAATTTCTTCCTGCACACGAAGGCGAAGATCGAGGAAGCTAAGGACGGTATTGGAAGCGGGATGAGGAGTGGGGCGGGGCGTAGGGAAACTTAGCTTCTTCACCCTCAAAATAACCGATCATCATATCGTCAGCTGATACAGAATCAATGCAGCCACCACCCGAGTGTGGATATGCGGCCACATCTTCCCGTAGCTCTCGAACGATGGAAGAACGTACACTTTCGGTGCCTGTCCAGCCGAAGTTCCATCGTCATCACGGTTTTGTTCTATAGATAAATCTGGGGAAAAATAGAGTTAATTCCACCAATAGTCCTCCGACTATCGTGATTTTCCAAAATTGGTCCTCGTCTTTTAATTTGGACGAAAAAGACACTTAACTTTCAGATTTGTTCCAACATTAGTCCTTCCGTTAATTTTCAGTTATTTAGGCGTTAATTAGGCGTTAGTATAGAGGATAAAATGGTCATTTTATTAGCTATCTCTTAAGTAAATTATACCACTGTAATTTCAATCCTTTTTTACAGTTTCAGTATACTTCCAGCTGCTTCACTGCCGAAAAGGTCCAAATGCCGGGAAGAAACGGTGGTTGTTGTGTCCATTGTAGCCGTCGCGCCGCCGGAAAGCACGTCGAGAAGAGTTGTTCGTCGTTGCCTCCTGCTCTGTTCGCCGAGAAAAAACAGGGGTTACCGGAAGCTCATTGAGAGAGCAACTTGACGGGGAGATCCAGCCGCCGCCACTGTTAGTTACCGTCGTCGCCAACCACTGTTGCAACGTTGAGAGGGAACCAGAGCATGAACCTGCCTTCGCTGGATCCATTGTAGCGGCCACGCCGCCGGAAAGCATCATCATCAACTTCGCCAGATCTCCCGCCGCTGCTTCTTGCCACCAATAGATCTGCTACAACAGAAGGTTGCCGAAGCTCATTGGAGGCCGAAACTGCCGAGGAGAACGAAGCTGCTACGCTGATATGCTCACGTCGGAATGGAGGACGCTTTCTTGCTGCGGGAAAAGCTGCTACGTTAGAGAAGGAAGCTCGCCACTGCTCCACGATGTCGCCGGTGAAGAGCTTCTTGCACCGGTCACCGCCACTGTCGCTGCTACTCTGCTGGCCGAGAGAGAGACAGAGAACGGAAGAGAGACAGAGGCTCAAGGTGGTGGATTGTCGGTGGAAGAGGGAGAGAGAGACGGTGGTTCATGGTCTAATACATACCGCTATACTGCTTTCCAACTAATAATCACGGCTAAATGTGAATTAAAGATGTGGTTCCATATGTGAGTTTGAGCATCAAGAATTTCACTATCTTTCTCTGCAATATGTGGAAGGGGTGATGCCATTTTTAGCTTCACTGGAGATTTTTTTTTTTTTTTTTTTTCTTTTTTTATCATTCTTAAGAGTAAAAAATACACAAATAGAGAAACTTAAATTTGTAGTTCACTGAACACCACAATAATCATCTAGCACTTAACTTCCTTGAGACCATGGGCAAAGTACACGAATGTTGGGTCTGTGGCACCATCCTTGTAGTAAGCAAACACAAGAGTGTTATCATCAGCCATGCTCTCTCCCACAAAAAATTGCAGGTCACTAGGCTTTGAGAGCAGGAACTTGGTTGCTCCCTTAATGTTTTTCTTGAACACCTCTTGTTTCTCGGCATCCAGCTTAGGGGTCAACAGTTTGATGTATTTCTTAATGTATGCTACAAATTGCTTCTTATCAAAGGCAAGTTGCTCCTAGAGTCTGAAAGTGTCAACAATGTAGACGACCACCTTACCAGCTTGGTCATCAACTCCCTCATCCTCATAACCACCTTCTGCAGATGGGTTTGCCCCAATATCTCTTCAACTGCTCCCTGGACCACCCAGTTTCTCAACTTCCCACAGAACCCCGTCCTCAATTTCCTTGTTGCAAAATGAGTCAGAGAGAAGCTCATCACCAGTTAGTAAATCCTGATAGACCAGCATGGTTGATAGCTTGAGCTCTCTCGAGATGCTCCGAACTGAGATTGAAGAAGATAACTAGGAAAAGACCCCTTTACCCTTTAACTTAACGTCCATATAAATCTTAGTTAACGGAAGGACCAATGGTGGAACACTTTTGATAGTCAAGGGTTTATTTTGTCCAAATTAAAAGACGAGGACCAAATTTGGAAAATCACAATAATCGGAGGACTATTGCTGGAATTAACTCGGGAAAAATATCACTGTATGTTCTGATTTTGTTCTCAGAAATTTTGCATTGCTACAAGTTGATGGAGGTCGACTGGCTATGGTTTATGTTCGCAAACCTATTCTACATGGATGTTTCAGTATTCAAAATTATATAAATGTCAATATAACTATAAATTTTAAATATGGATGTGATTAGTACAAGCACACGACGTACTATCAATATCTAACTTTGGAAGGTGACGGTAATAAAGCTACCAAGAGAATATTGTATTACTATACTACAACTTTGATGTAAGTGGAGTACTTGAGGAATTTCTAATTCTTTTTCATGTTTGAATTATGAGCGAAATTTGGGGGTTAAAAAGGTAGGTTTAGTTTGGGGTTTAGAAGCGCGGGATCGGAGGTCATCAAAACTTACTGATGAGAGTGGGCTTGACTTGGTGAAAGACAAAGCTAGGTTGAACTAATTGTTAACATCATTAATTTGAGAATGTTTCTTTTTTCACATATTAGTATGGTTGTCCATTAATTTCAGTATTAGAAATTATATAAATGTTAATATAATTTTAAATTGTAAATATGAATGTAATTAGTACAAATATGATTGTAGTATAAATCTCAAACAAATACAAGGACTATCGGGTTATCGATCTAAAGGAAAGTGGGGTGTATTAAGTACTAGCTACTAATATATTCTTATTAAGCTAATCCAAATGAGTATCATGAATGGTTGTATAAAATAATTAAAACAAAGCAAAATAACAGGGTTGTGAAAACAATGGAGAGAGAAAGTGATTCATGGGATGAATGTTTAATCACCCCGTGCCAATCTTAAGTCTATATATATATATTAAAGCAAAATGAAGGCCAAAATTTTCACCCCCAAAAATTTATACAATTTATAATAATTAATTTATTTTACATATACTTTATATGCATAATACATAATTACAAAAATGCTAAATCAATTATACAAAAATCATTGCCAATGTACCAAATATAATAATAATAATAATAATAATAATAATAATAATAATAATAATAATAATAATAATTAATTTCATCAAATTTCCTAACTTCAATTATGCTACCACTACCATCAATTTCAATTCTTTCAATTCTGCTAATTTATTTTACATATGTTAAAGGAAAAAAACAGAATACAGAGACAAGGGAGGAAAGAGAGAATCTCTTATTCATTCATCTCACTTTGCATATTACAACAATACATATATATGTAATATACATTTGTAACGGAAGGTAATAATGGTAGACATAAATGCGACCGTTACATCAGTTACATAATCAACTCATAATGTCCACACTTAACTATATTTATAACACTCCCCCTTGGACATTATAACACCACGATCTTGCCTCATTAAAAACTTGCTAGGAAAACCCTGTGGAAAAAAACCTAAACAAGAAAAGAGTACAAGGTATATGGATAGCATATTTGAATACATTCATGCCTCATTAAAAACTTCACTAGGAAAACCACGTGGGAAAAACCTAGTTGAAGAAAAGAGTACATGATATTTGTAAAATCATATATTGTACTGATTGCCTCACTAAAAAACTTAACTTAAGAAAATCCTGTTGGAAAAAACTTAATTAAGGAAAAAGAGTACAATCATAAACCTTCAAGGCATAATCTTCAGGATTTTGGGGTTTGTCTACTGAAACAATTATTTTGCAACATTTCCCTATTTACATCACTATATCATACTCATGCCTCGTTAAAAACCACACTACAAAAACCCAATGGGAGAGAACTAGTGAGGAAAAGAGTACATGATATTTATGTATTTATGTGTTGCAAATAGTGCGCAACTATTAGTCTTTTATGACTTAAGCTTCAGGATTTTACGTCCAATCTTCCGGATTGATTCGAGTAAATGTACTTTCCGTCTCCCCCTGAAGATAACAATCTTCAAGTTCTACATATATTTCAAAATTTGAAGAAATGGATTGGACAAATCTTCTGGATTGTCACTAGATTAAATATCTTGTACAATAATCTTATGGCTCTTCTAGCGCTCAAGTGTTATTGTCCTCATTTTGAACATTTAGGGAAATTCATTGTATAACCAGTTTGGACTTGGCATTGCGGGGATCAAACAAAATAGCTGTACTCAAGTAGCCTATTAAAATCGTATCATAGTTTCTTACATAAATGTCATGTCTTTTGTATCTCGAAGATACCGGAGGATATGTAATCATTATTCAAGTACTTCATTTGTAGGAGGAGCACTATGATTTTGCTAGCAATTTCATCGCAAATATCA